CCTCCTCCGCCTCTTCCTCCTCCTCCTGCTGCTGCTAGTAGCTGCTAGTACTACAGCAAGGACGGAGATGACGACGACCTTGTTGCTGATGCCATACACTGCCACCATCTAACCATCTATGCCCTCGGAATAGGACGACAGCCCACAGACGTGGCCGAGTCGGCTGGGATTTAGGAATTTAGGATTGGCGGCATTGTTGCACGTCCTGCTCGTAGACATCGATCTCGTGAAGGGTAGCCAAAGTGAAGGCGATTGCCTCGCAGCTGACAAAGCCGCTCGATGGCTGTCGTGCATGCGGAATGCCCTGCTTTCAATTTTAAGCTTCGTGCCGCATTTGGCAGAGCCATCACGACTGCGAGGGGAAGCACCGAGCCGTAGTAGCCTTTTTGCTCGCTGTGAATCGCCACAAAGGATCAGATCAGTTGGCCGTTTACAATTTACATGTTACTTCGCCATGCCTCGATTTTCACTTGTCACAGCCCTCTTACTATCGATGCAGCCAAGGCACCCCATAGCAGTGAAAAGCCCCACTTTCCGCTCACATAAAAGCGCATCGCATGGCACCGGCTGAACCTGACGTTCCTTTGGAACCCAAGTCAGGCTCAGATGCCTGCAGGAAAATGTGCAGCGGCGAAGCGGAAGCCGAGGTGTCGGATACGGAAGTCTAAACACTGCTACGAGTATCACTTTACCTTGTTTCAAACTGACTGGACCTGATTTACCCTGCAGCATGGTCTGAGGCCTAATTTGCGTTCTAAGTGAAGTCTAGCTGACGATTTGCTTTGCCTTGTTATGTTCGGGCCGACGTACCTGTCTCGAGCCAGCGCTGCCAGGTTCGCTCTCATCCGCTTGCAGTGTGCAGGCATGCTTCATGAGCAGTAGATATACCAGGGCTCCCGCATGTCGCAAGTCCTACCAGGACATCCAATGAATCAATGCATGCGCAAGCGTTGAGTTTGATCGAGAGGGATGCTCTAACAAGACTAATCACGGCTCGAAACCTCTATGCCCCGTCCCCCCAAAACCTGTGAGATGCGCTCTGAGATCTGCGAAAACTCGATCTGCAACAGCCGCTGCCTTGGGAGAAGAGCTTTGGTAGGCCCTGGAGATTTCGAAATAAAATTGCTTAGGGCCCAGCACTTCCTGCATCTCGAGCTTGAAGGATTCGCTCATGGCTCCCGAGCCAATTTCCGAGGACTGATATGCAACTGAGGCTGGCTGATTTTGCTCAATGCATCTGCTAGATTCATTCATGCTCCGAGTGAGACGACGTTTGTAGCAATTCTGGCCGCTCTGGACATCAAGATCCTATTCCGAGCCAGGGAGCCTGCACAGTGCGCTGCCTTCCAAAGCGAGATCCAGGAGTCCAGCCAGGTGCATCTGCGAAAGGAGCACGAGAGCTAGGGAGGAAGCACCAAAGAGGTGCATGTAGTCGCCGATGTAGCGAAAGATGTTCCTCGGAAGATTCGGAAGCAAAGGGCCCGTGCGTTTAGCAACTTCAGCGACTACTTGCTTCAGACTCACGCATGGCTGAAAAGATCTCGCAGACAACAAGACTCAAGGCAGGCACCATGAGTAGCTGCGCAGCTTCATCAGCTTCTCTTTGTTGTAGAGCTTGCTCTGTGGGCATCATCGCCGGATTCAGAGGGGGCTTGTGTCTTCCTCTCCCTAGATTATCCCCGGAGGTGCTCGCTCTCAGACCTATGCACCGGATCTGAACAAGGCCACTCAGCTGGTAGCAAACTGCTTCCACATGTGAGGGTGGGCGCACCAGCTTTCCGAAGCTCCCGGCAGCAGCCCTGCCGTGTCTACGGTACACAGATGCTCGCAGGCACAACTGGCAACAAGATGGCCAGGGCCGGCACAGAACCGCTGAAGATGCGCTGCACTGTAGCTACCAGCGTCAAAGCCACGAAATCCGAGAAAGCCTCTCTCACATGCCGTGGCCACCCACGCAAGCTTGGCGTTCTCTCGGGCACTCCCTCTCCAGCTTCCTCAGGCCAGCGAAGGAGTTGCTCCACGCTCGGACTCTTTCGTTCTGAGGGCCCAGGCGGCAGGTGCGGGTGCAGGCCCGGCATCCTCCCCACCGACATCAGCCATCGTCGGTCAGGAGGAACGGCCCTCGGCCCCTCGCAACGCAAAGCAGAGAGCTGTGGCTCGAGGGAGAACAGGTTGGACTCCTTGCTTCGTGCATCGCAATGCCAGGCCTTCGACGCAACACAGCTTCGGCCCAAGTTTCGAGCCACAGAAGCTACACAGACGCAAAGAAGACTGATGAGTGTCCTTTCAGGCCCTAACAACCCTAAGGAGACCCAGGTCACCAGTTCAGTCAACTTGGACAAAGATCTCCTCATGGCACGTGGCGACAAGTCCAGGAGGAGGCAGCCCCCTGTCTGTTTTCGACATCAAAGGCAGCGAGCGACTGACCTCTCGGCATGGCTCAGCCATGTCACGAAAACTATCGTGTGTGCGGACTTGGGAGTTGAGGGGGATTTTGGGTTGAGAGATCTTACATAAGACTAAAGCCAATCAGATCCTTCGCACTTCCAGAAGCGCCCTCTGAAGGCCACACTTGCCAGGTCCTCATGCCTCCATACTCTGGCTTGCCGTGGCACGAAAGCTGTAAAGCATGGTCTCTTCTGCGGAAGCTCTGCGATAATTAAAATAATTGACTCAGGGAGCGCTCTGCAGAAGACCATCCGCCTTGCAGCAGGCAAACAGTGTACGATCTGTGCAAGTCTTGTTGTTGGTACTGTGTTGGCATGCCCATGGAAAGGCTGCAAATTCAGCACCCCACTAGCATAACCACACATGCATTCTCCGGCTAGTCACATCTAGGCTTTCTTGGGCAGACGTTCGGCGCAATTCCTTGCAACTTGGTTCTCGAAACTTCTCCGACGTTGCCCTGTCATGGCAACAGAACGGCTCCCGTTCGCTGGAATTCATCACTGCAGCAGACGATGCGCGTAAAGCAGGAAAGCCTTCAAGAATTGCCTGAAGGTTTTTGGGAGACTCGGAAGCCTGGAGCTGGTCTGGCATCCTTAAGACTCGAATTGAGACATGTCGCTTACCTCCCTTCTTCAAAAGATCATCTGAAACCGTCGAAGTGAATATGGCAGAAACATCATAATGCATGGCATGCCTCCAGCTTTGGGATGCCTTGCACCTCGGCAAGGAAAGGAACGGCAGCACCCCCACCCCCACCCCCAAAGCCTCTGACTCCGAGCCACTCGCCTTGAGCTGGTTCCCAAGAAATTCCAAGCCGTTCAGCGTTCGGCAAGCGCTGGCTGCCAGTGCCTGGAAGCCGCGGGTGCCAGGGCTGCAGCGAACGCCGACATGCAAGGACTGTATGTAACTTATGTAACCTTCGCAGAACATGCCGAGCTTGGGAGAGGAATGCAGCGGTGACCTGTGAACACCACACTGCACAAAAGCGCCAAAACTGTCTCCAGTTGACGGGCGATGGAGACAAGCGATAACGGCACAATTACAACCCTGAGCTTTCCGGCTTTCTCTGCAGAATCTCCCACTCTCGGGGGACGGAGGACTGGAACGAAATCCGTCGAAAGCAACTCCTACTCCTACTGCTACATGTGGTGATGTGCAGCATATCCGGCCTTGTTCTGCAACTGCAGCAGAATGGCTCCTACCTGCTCACGGGGCAGCCAACGTTGCAGTTGGGTCTATAGCGCACAGGTAAGATTCATCCCGTGCCCAGCCTTGCCAGGCCTGTTCCAAGCTTTGAGGACTGACTCGCCTCCCGTCTCTTTATTGAAATCCTGCCGAGACAGTAAACAACGCACAACATTCGCCTTAACAAGTCCGCGGTTGCCACAGCATGCTTGGAGTCTCTCTTCTGGTGTGCCATACACCAACTACTAGCATGGGTCCGGCAGCGTCTTGAGAGTCGGATTGAAAAGCTCCGGCAGGTACTGGAGGGGATTCTTGCCTCATTTCGGGCGACATGGTCTCCAGTGCAGATCTCTATTCAAGAGTAAAGACGACGCACGGCGGCCGCGGAATGCACACTTGCCATGCCCGGCATTGTGGCACGAGCCACGAGTCGTCCAAGTCGGACCACTGGAAGAAAGGCACGAACACCGGGTATGATCTGGTACCAACCTGAAACTAACCACCGAGAGCCGAGAACGCAGGCTTCTCGGGCGGGCGATCCCAGCGGTCACGGCAACGTTGGCCGAGGCCGAGGCAGGGCGCTGCTAAGGCCCCGAGATGCAACTTACCGACGCTGACGCCGGGCCAAGCGGGCGCAACGGCGGGCGACGGGCAAGCGCAGACCGCGGAGATCTCTGCATGTCCCTGCGTCTGAGGCCGAAACCTCTAGAGATTAGGTCCGGTAGGTTGCAGATCTCCAAAAGCCTGCAAGATCTCAAACGCTTTTGAAGACTTTCGAGACTTTCGATGCGCAAGGCCGGCACGAGGTGTCATCCTCTTTGTTCTCTTCGGCCTGGCTTTGACTGCTTTCGATTGCTTTCGGATATTTTTAAATAATGTTCCGGCTTCGGGTTCAGCCATGACCTGGTTGACGACCACGCGCCGCTGCGGCTGGGACTGCGCGTCGTTCTTCGGCCTGAACGGCTCTGCGGTTTCGGCCCTGAGCGCTACGCCTTCAGACAGCCCAGTAGCCCCGGCCCCTGCAGGCTCCGAGTCAAGCGCTCCATGGATCGTGAGTCCGAGCGTGAACGCGACAGCGACACTGAGCGGTGCGGTGCCGCCCTGCCAGTTCTACTACTTGAATAACTGCTCTTGAGAGAGGCTGGTTGTGAAGACCTTGCCTGCGGCCTCTCTCGTCGTTTCCCTGTGCTTCAGCACCTGTCTGATGCAGGGCTGTCGATAATCGGAGCACTTAACTTAAGATGGTGAGACGACGTGCCTACGATATCCACACCCTCTGGCGCGGCCCCTCCATTATCATCCTTGCAGGCAACAGCTCCCAAGGTCCGGCATGAAGCACGCACGGCGGATACCCGAACCTGCTGTCTCGCTGACCTCCCCGAGGAACTGTCCTGCCAGACTCGAACAATTCCCATCCTCGCCCAACCCTTCGTGTGCTGAGATCTGCGAAAAGCTCGCGACTGCAACTCAAATCATCATCACTCCTCGGACCGACTGCGGCGCGGACTCGACCTGCCCCGCACTTCTGTTCCAACAATACGAGCACAAGAGCTGAACACATAGTCGGAGGTTCCTTTCTGCTCTCCGGATTACAAGGCAGAACGCAGTCAGTACGCAAGGGTTCTTATTGAAGACCGTAGGGGCCCGTAGAGGCAAAACTATGTCCAGAGTGGAATGCAGGAGCTTAGAGACAGGAGGGAGCTCAAGAAAGGAATGATTTGCAGTTTTGAGGAATACTGTCGTGAGGACAGCTGCCAAATCCATCGTGCAAGGAGTCTCCGACGTCCGAACACGAAGATGTAGGATGCTGGAGAGCTCATAGTTGTTGACAAGCTCAGAAAGACGTGAGCCTCTGCTTTCAACCATGGAGTTGCAACCTTGTTCCTCTTCTTCCCGTAGGGAACCGGAGTCTCCCACGGTTGGACACTCCAAACCATGGAAAGGCCCCGATCGGCAATATCTTGGAGTCCCCAGGCCCGCGCTCCTTGGCGGCTCTGCTTCCGAAAACCACGCGAGGTTCACTTTTTGGGCTTCCCACAACACCGAAGCATTTGGACCTCTCAGCATTTGTGTGTTTGCGCGCACATGTCTGTTTCACTGTTCGCTTCTGAATCTGTGCAGTACTCACATATTCATGCATTCATTTGTTCACATTGCTGCTAACAAGGCTTGCCCCTTTTGTCCATTTTACTTGCCCGCATTACTGTTGGTGCACTATACCCTAACCGTGGTCAAGAAAGGATAGGCTGTGGGAATCCCACCGGCTTCACCGGATCGGATGCAGGACTGCTCCATGGGAGTCCGGACTCGCAGGGTGGGAGGGATGCAAGCTGAAGATCCAATGATGCATGCTGCCAATCTTAAACTGTTCATACTTTTGTACCCTTTGCTTTTGTCCCAGGTTCTTAACTTTATTTCGCCATACATAAGTGTGTACATTACATTACTGATTATGTTTGCTTTGTCCTACTGTCTGACAGGCAGATCGGTCCAACACGGAGGCTCAACAGCGGGGAAGCCTGCTTCTGGAGCGGTCATCTTCGGAAGAGCTCCTGCCCGGATTGAACATCGCACCTCCACCCTTCAAAGCTTGGACTACACAAGCGGCGAAAAAGCGAAAGAAATGAGCTCGACGGCTCTGCTGCGACCTTCGCCGCCTCGGTGACGCTCCGGGGCTGCGTGAGCCCACTGCCTCCATCGAAGGTGTACTTGACTGTTTTGCCTGCCTGCTTGTTGACATCACCATCTTACATACGCAAGCAACCTGCGAGCTTATTGGATCATCAAGCTTGTCTAGGTCGTGTTCAAGGATATGTCCGACGTGTTGTCCGTCTTGGGTCTCTCGAGTGCACCCGTGCTTTGTCACAAGTTTCTGCAAAGAGCTAGTACTGCCATGGTCTACAACTCTGTCATCCACCGCTAATTCTCTAGACTCTCCGCAAAGCGGCTGTTCACCTCGGATGTTCGGAAGGTGGGGTCTAGACGGCCATGCATAATCGGCGTGGCTGTGACAAGCACCCTGGCAGCCTGCATGGACTCCTTGAGGCGTATGCCCTCAGTTTGCATCTTCTTTTGCACAAGAGTACAAGAGCATGGCAGCGACAGCTGAGCCTCGCGGCCAAAGCCTACAGCGAGTTTAAGGTCCCGGCGTGGTTTAGCTGTTCTAAAATCTTCTCTCGCTCTTTCCGCACTCTCGAGGTCACGATCTGGCACGGGCTCACACTGTGACTGTGGTCAGAGTGGAGCTGAAATTGCCCTAGCAATTGAGGACAAAGCCGCACTTGTGTTCAAGGTCCTGAAGCTGTGTCTTCACTGAAATTGAAACGGCTCCACGTTGCATCTGCTAATTTGGTCAACCACTCAAAAACGGTGCTCCTGCCGTCATCTCGATTGGCCCTTATGGTAAGGTCAGGGACGTAAGCATCAATGACCGCCGCCTCAGAGGGCAAGCGACAACGCCCAGCAAACCGGATATCCCAATAGCCGGAGTTCCGAGGTTTAAGGTGAAACGACTAAATGCTCGATATGGCCTGCACATCCTTGGAGTGTCGCTGTAGAATCTGCATGGCGAGATGATCGGTGCACAAATCTTCCGGTGCATCTTGACTTGCAGGGCCTTGGCGCAGTCGTCGTCCAGCTTGTTGACCTGAATGAACCTCAGAAAAGTGGCCCTCGATGCAGCGCGCCGGTCCACATCACCACCGGTGTCCTGCAAACCTCGGCCTAGGTGCCTGGCTGGTGGAGACGCTTGTCGTGCTCACCGGTGTTCTTCACAAGCTGGGCCCGCTCCGATCCTGCCCGCAGCTACCCCCCAGCCCAACGCAGCACAGAGATCTCCGCAAAGCGCCTATGTGCCAAAGACCCCGCCACATCCCTCCGCTCTCCTCTCGGGCCAAAGCTGCCGCCTTTGCCACTACGGCCCCTTCGGCCTGGACCTCAGCAGATCTAAGCAGCTAAACATAGCTAAGCAGCTAAGTCTAGGCCTAGGCAACCGCAAAGGGCAAGGTCATTGGGCACGGGAGCCACTGTTACTCTCGCTGCCGTTGTCCTGCTCTGGGCCCCGCACGGTTCTGCCTGGCTCCGCCACCTGATGGAAGGCTGGGGAAAGGCAGACATTGCGGTGTGACCAGCAAAGGCCGCTTCGCATCAATCTGGATGAGGCATGTTGCTCTGCAAACAGCTCATGCTACACAAGCGCACCGCCTGCTTCATGGCATCCTCATCTGTACAATGGTAGAGGTCAAGAGGAACTGAACCCACCGCTCTCGCAAGCTCTCAACTGAGCTTGAGCTGGCCTAGTCAAGGGATTAAACACAGTTCCGTGCTTCGCACGTGACTGCAGATGCCAGCTTTAGGCACCCTACACGGCTGAGTCAAGGCCGTGGCTGTCACCTTAGGCCATCTGTCCACCTGCTGAGCACGTCTCGTTGGAAGCGTGTAGTTGCCCAAAAGACAATGAATGCTGAAAACACTGGAACTTCGCAGACAAGCACCTGCAGCATGAAGCTGACGCTGCAACACCCAAGCGACATCGCAAGCGTGGCTCCTTGGATTTCTGCTGGAGCCCAAACCCGAGCTGGCAGCCATGCAGGCCCTTCGGGCACTGGAATACCTCGAACACAGGTCTAGCGCAGCCATGCATCCTGATCCTTCTGTCGACCACATGGGATATGTACACAGGCGGTGCATCAGGATCAGTGTCCTTAGTGAAATTTTGCAAGAGATGAGGGCAGCTGGGCAAAGCTGACAGAGAGACTCTTGGCGGCAGATATGCAGATATGCCAATGGGCTCGACAAGTCCGGCAAACTCTAAGGCAAACCTTCGACGAGGTACGACCATCACCTCAACCTTCGAGCCGTCTGGTACAGCAGTGAAGCGAACGCCGCTCACCTGCTGGGAAGCTTCTGAAGAATGGGGCAGTTCGAGTTGAATCTGTTGCCGAGACACATAGATTCGTCCGTGGCCATGGCCTGGCCATAGCAGCAGGATGGTGATATCCTTTGTTACGGACGCTGATGGGCGCCTGCGATTGGCTTCGGGAGCCCCTCGGCCTTCAGAAGGTCTTCGCCTGGCTTCGGGAGCCAAGCAACGTGGCCTCTGATGGCCTCTACTTTTGAAGATTGTCCGAGTGGCTCAGGGACGTCATGGCCATAACATAGCCTTAGGCTGTGCGACTGCCTGACTGCATGCGACGCTTACCGCGGAGCTGCAGCATGGTGCCGATCAAGGAACACTCTTTGTCGTCGTCCCTCTGAGCTTTGCCACAGAAGCAGGTGCAAAAGAAGTCACCTTCAGGCATGGCAGGGCTCAGCTTGAAGCGTTCCATGGCCACCAGGCCGAGGCACGGCCCACGAACCACTCGGTGAAGGCCAAATAGCCTAACCGGAAAGACATCTGACACAGACACTGCTCACTGCCGCAACAGCGCATCTTTAGCAATAAGACATGCCAATCGCATGTAGGTTGTCGCTAGCGACGACAGTCTCGGAAGGTACGTTACTTAAGAAAGGATAGCTCAACATTCAAAATTCAAATCAAGATATGCCAATTGGAAAGTAGGAATCAAGACAAAGCTGCAGGACAGATTTGATGAATGAGTGCAAAACCTCGAAAGCTTTGGAACACTGTAAACTATGAGTGAGAACCCGTGCGGAAGCATATGGCCGGGAGAATTCCGGCTGTCCATGCAACAGGGTCGTCTACACCTCTGCGTCTGGACTTTTCATCAACTTCCTGGCACCTTCTCCAACCCCGGGTGTTTCTTCCCCGGCTTTCAGGCTTCCGTTGAATTCGTCCAGCTTGTTGCATCTTGCTCCCCCAGAAACGTTACAAGAATCCATTTGCAGCTGACCAGTGGTTAGAGCGGAAGCATCCTGGAACGGTTGAGGATAAGATGCCCTGAGTTGCGCAAGGATGTCAGATTGCTGCCCAGGCATAACAGATGTGTTTGTTCATTTAAGTATTTAACTGTTTGTGATTATCTCTCTTTGTTTCCTCCTGCCTTTTTTCTCTGTAGTATTATATATGCCTCAAACCTGTTCTTCGGTTGGGCAGCTTACTGGCCGCAGGGAAAGGCTTGTGTGCAGGCTTGTGCTGCAGCGCCGCAAAGAAAACAGCACCCATTCACCGTAGTCTCATTGCTGTGCAGCTGTGTGTCCGTTTTCATGTGGCTTGTACTTCAGCTTTCGCAGCTGGAGACGCTTGGCGGATTAACAGTTGTCGCGTTCTGCATTTCCTCTTCAGATCGACCCTGCCGAATCTGGTAAGGACACCAAGCTGCTCCCATTGAGCCCCACATCAGCAGACATTTCTCGAGCCCACTGCAGCCCAAGGACGGATGGAGTGCACCGATCCATCTTCGGCCTGCAGGGGCCGCGACCACATGACCTGCCAGGCGCTGTGAAGTTTTGGTTCTAGTCGACACGAATAGCGCGCTGGCTTTGAAGCTTTGGTGATTTCTCAGATTGCCAAGATTCGCAACCTGCCCTTGCGTGCATGCACACAACTTCCCGTGGTCCTTACTCACTGGATGCCCAACTATATGCGGGGTCACCTTGCAGGCAGGATCTATCGATCCAGCCGCCATGTTGCGCTGAAGCAAACGAAAAGCTTGGATCGGCGGCACGGCCGCCTCAGATGTAGCTATGTTTATGTGCTGGGCCTTCCAGTATAGCAAGCAGTGTCTAGCAGCTGAGCACTGTGCAGTGAAGGAGATTGCGTAGGCATGCCCGCCCTTGCGGAGATCAGACTCTGCTGAGCAGATAGTGAAGCGCTGTAGCACCTGCCAACACAATCTGGCAAGGTCTCGAGAGCTAAAACATTCAGCGACTCGAAGGCCTCGCGTCGAAGAGCAAAGAGGTCCTGGCTTGTGACGTGGACGTGGTGGAGGGGAATGGAGGGGAGGCGGGGCGTGGGCGTGGCGGATCGTGGCGGTTGGCATGGTGGTGGCAGCGGCAGTGACGGCGGTGGTGTGGTGCTTCTGGCTTTTGCAACCGTGGCCTTCTGTGCAACCGAGGAGCGAATTTGCGCAACCGCTGGAACGCAGACTCCTCCAAGGATACAGACTGAAGGAGAAGAACAATGAAGAACAACAGAAAATGATCTACAAAAACGACAACACTGGCCACCACGACAAGAAGAACAAGAAGCGCAAACACTGAAGAATGGGGACGGGAATGAACAACTCAACATCAACGACCGCGATGACAAATACCGTCAACAGGAAAGAAGAGTAACAGTATCTACTGGAATCACAACTTCCACGGCAGAAATCAGATGACGGAACGGAACGACAACAGCAAAGACTATGGGGAAGAGCCGATCGTGAGAAACATACGAGCGACAAGAAGGAGAAGAAGAACAAGGAACAACAACGAAGCAATCGGTCCAAAAGTCACCGTTATGAAAGACGTGCAAAACCTCCTGCTTTTGGCTGTCTCGTCTAGGTAAGAGGGGGCTTCGGGCTAGCTGAAACAGGGTTTGTCGTGACGATCTTCAAAGTGGCAGAGCATTGCAGTGTTGTTGCTTGGTTTTGTGCAGCGCTGTTTTACCTCATCTTGCAGCCCGTTTGCATCCTTCGTGCATGTGTGGTCACTGCGTTCCTGGATGACTTTCGTGATGTGGTCGAGCACGAGGAGAACAAGAAAAAGAGGAAAGATGACATTGTTGCTGACCGGCTCAATGGCCAAAATCAAGAATCGTAGCACGAGTACACTGTGTGCCGATCTGACAGCGCTCAGTATCGTCTACAAAGAAACAAGTGGTGTCAGTTCACAGTAGGTGCGAACATGAGAAGCCCAAAGCTTAAGATTTATGTAACAGCCAGCACTGCTGCGCACACGCTGAAGATAGCTGCAGATGCCTTAATGCATAGAAATCAGCGTGGCCGGCCAGGGGACATCAGATCAAAATGAACGACTTTGCAGTTGCGCACTTTCGAAGACACATACACCGCCGAAAACGCCGCAAAGTAACCCTGAAATTGAATGCCAATTCCTGCTGCAAAATAGCCGTTGCTAGCTCCAGCCACAAACGCGCTTTACGGCAAGCATCGCCACGAAGCCGTTACAGGTTTGCACAAGGATTTACTATGCACCAGCACGAAAGTCGAACAGAGGTGAGCAGCGCCTTATCAAACGCATAACCCGAACTTGTGAACAAATCGCCATTCATGTCAGGTCTGCCTGCTGGGGTCGGGAAACTTAAGACTACGTCTCCGCGTGCACTCAGCTTTACTCCGTCCTCCGTCCACCTTCCAGGCTCGTCCAGCTTTCGCTGCAGCCTTGCGGGTCTCCGCTGGATCCGTTCTGACAGCCTTTCTGCCTACGACGGCCTACGAAGCTCAGACTTCAATTGCACTGCCTGACCCAGCAAGGACAGTGAAACCACCCGCCTGGCACAAGCCTCTTGACTGCCGTCGCGAATCATCCGAGCCTTGGTGCGGTGGGGCGCTAATCAGTGGGCTCAGGATCTTTGACATCTTCAGTTTATGCTCGGTAGATACTTATTACCGACCTCCTCATCCGGAAGTGGCTGGAAGACACGGGGTAGCTGGTCCTGCGAGCAGAACCCAGGTCGGAATGAAAAGGCAAGTTATGCGGTTATGCATCTCTGCCCGGCAACATGAACCCCCCCTGCACCTAAAACACCCATTTATTCTAATTACTCCGGAGCTGTTTGCAAAGCTGCAAAGCGCGACTTTGGTGAGCACCGGCTGTTGGTAATACAAGAACAGACGTTCAACGCTCACACCCAGGGGTTGGCTGCCAAGCGTTCCCCAGCCAGTCTTAAACAGTTACCTTGGCTGTTGAATGGCTGTTGTTTTCCGCACTATAAGACTGAGCGAATCTGACTGTCTCAATGCAGTGTTTGCTTGGTATTTCGCCTATGGACGATGACATGTCTGAGAGGCTTCGGGGTTTGGGCGGGCGCAGCTCATCAGGGGCCCGTTACAGTCCCGCGCACGAATGCGAGACACACCGTCAGCCCCCCAACTCAATGACTGAACACCTGAGCTCAGCTGACCCAACAATGCCAAACAAACGAGTCCCAACCTGCAGGCTGCTCAAAACACATTTGCAGCACTCCTTAAGACGGTCGATGACCCGGCTCTGTATAGAGACCATCGTGCTGTAGGAGACCATCGAACTGCCGAAGAGCAGGACACCTTCAAGGCAGCAGCGCTTCCCGGACGCGGTCTATCAGCATTCCCAACGGCAGCTGCTAAACGTGTTGGACACACATGTTTGCTACCACGCCCACATCGGCCTCTGGCGGCTGCAGCTGCTGCAGTGGCAGGGCAAGTCAACGTTGCCACACCGCCCCCGAGAGTCAGAGTGAGAGTTGGTAGCACCCACTGCCTTAAGCACATGGCATAATATCAGCTTGCGTTACGGACCGCTCCGCTTGGTCAACAGAGAATCGCAGATGGCATGCAGAATGTCAAAAGCCTGGCAAATCGTGCAAAGCCCTCAGCTTTCTACCAGTACTTTTGGACATGTCCCTGCCCAAAATCACGTGCCAAGCCACGACTGTTTCTGGCCAGCCGCCTCCGCCAGAATCACGACCTGGGTGTGGGGGTGGTGTGGGGGTGTGTGGCGGTGTCGGGTGGTGCGGGGTGCTGTGGGGTGCTGTGGGGTGGGGTGGCGCGGGGCCGGAGTGGAGTGTTATGGTTGGCGTTGTTGTTATGGTGTGGGGCGTGGGAGTGCTGGGGTGTTGGGGTGTGGGGTGGCGCGTCTGTGTCGGGTAGGGTTCCGTGGGGTTGGTTGGAGCACTTATTTTTTATAACCTCCTGCATTTTTGCACATTTCAAGTGCTTGTGTGGGTACCTGCGTGCATAAATAAATGCGGAGCCAAGCCAGTAACCTATGTATCTTAGGTCTGATAGATTTTAGGTTTAGATATGTACAGACAGTGTCTATATGCAGAGAGACAGATAGAGAGAACATGAGAGAACAACAGTCTCACTATCATCTAGCTGCATAGATTTGTTTCTACTCGTGGCTGTGAAACCCTGGAGTCATCGGCCTCTTAGGCAAGGCTGGCCTCGCTGCTGTTCTGCCACCATGCAGATAGCCGCTCATGCCAAAAACCCTCCCTAAACCCTGTCCCCATGTGCAGCAAGCATGCATGGATATCAACACCTCGCGTTCATGCGTACATGCTTTCATGCACGCAAGGCTTTGCTGTGCGTGATGCAGCAAGACATGCTTGCACAGGTGTGCGGGATCGCGGTATCTCTGATGAGGATCCGGCTGCTTTCTCGGTAACTTCTCGAGTGTGCGCCACTGTCGCCTCCACCGCATTCAAGGCCTCCTGACATCATGATGTCAGGCTTCCAGGTTCAGGCAAAGAAGCCCTTCCGAGCCACTATGACGACATTCCGACGAAGGCCCGCATTCAGCGTGTCCTGGTCCTGAGCAAGCTGCTTGCCCATCAGGGCGGTGATTTCCTGAAGGTTCGTGGCAGCTTGGCTGATTTCCAGGACGGCCAGATGCCGGCGCTCGTTCTCTGCTTGGTCGTCCTGGGCATGTCGAGCAACTGACAAGACCAAGGGCAGAGCACTAAACGAGCCGGCCTCTTCACTCCAGGGTCGCACAGCCAAGAAGACTGCCGCACCAGAGTTAGCACATCCAAGAGCCGGAAATTTGGAAAGCTCTTCGGACAGCGTACCCTCGCACGACTGCTGTATGTTGCTGCAGGGTCGATATGTCATGTGCCAGTAAGGACGCACATCCAGCCTGAGCTGCAAGTAGGCGGACGTCGTCCTCAGGCTTCTGCCTTAATCGTACAGCTGTCCAAGCACACCAAAAGCTGTCAAGGAAGCGAAAAGACGACGTGGAAGCATCTCAACTGCAATGATGCTGGTGCAGAAGCGCAACTCCACACCTCCCCAACACCCGGTCGGCGCACTTTCACCGTGCGTTTGCTTTTTCTGGCCTGTTATATTTCCCCACACAAATCCCTCCCTCTTTCGCCTCCCATGCAGTTCCTCAGCCCCTGTCGGCACCGACATTCTCTTCACATCAACATACCGGTTTTCGAAAATGTCCGGCGATATCCTGTGCAACCTCCGGAGGCTGCGAACTGCATTAGGGCAAACCTTCTCCGGAGAACTGTAGCTCGGTACCTCAATTAACTACCCTCAACCTACTAGTGCCAGCTGCGGCCCGACAGTGTTAACAACTAACTGAACTAACTGCCAGCACTGAGGGACAGGAAAGAAGCCACATTCCGCACTGATTCCGTCTGCTCCTCCGGGTGGGGCGCTGCAGCCTCTTCAGCGGGGTTGCCTGCAGCTTGTGTTCAGAGTGATACTATATGTCTGCACCAATATGTAATTACCGCCTTGTATGCCTTGTCTCCATCCTCCGTCGGCTTGGCCCTCCGAGACGACATTCCCGGCGCAGAGATTGTCGAGGCGGCTGCGCAGGGCGACTGCCTGCAGGGGCGCTGCAGAACACACCACTTCAACAGAAGCCGCACTCCCCGATTCCTCACACTTGAGTCAGGCCCTCGGCCCGAGGTGGGTTCTGGCATGTTCTGGCATCATACCTCGGCCCTTCGCTGCATGATGCGGGAGCGAGTTTGGATTTGGAGGAGTTTACGTCCAGCTAAAGCGTCCGGAAGAGCTACACCATCATGTCGGATGCAGGCCTTGGCCTGAAGCTCCCTCTCCGGCATGGCTAACACCAGCCTCTCGAGCGACTGCATCTCGCGGCCCAGGGCATCCTGCGAAGCCGGGAGGTGCCGTGAGCTTTTACATCTTTCTCCGCGCCTGCGCTGCAACTCCACGGCCTCTCTCCAGGGCTGCTAGCTGGGCTTCCAGGCGCTCCAGCCTCCTCAGAGGGGCGTCGGCTTCACTCAGACACTTCATCCCCCGTGCAAGCCGCCATGTGCACCAGCGAAACACTGGCAGGCCCTAGGGTTGTAAGGTCGTTTTGTGGTATTGCTTGGGGTATGATT